TACTTCTTTCTTTTCCTTAATTTGGCAAGTCAAGAGAATTTTGTTGTCACATAATTTTAAGCTAATTGAATTTTTATATACGCAAGAAATTTTTACCAACATATATAGGCCTATTAGAATAAGAAAGTAGGGACATGTTTTTAGATTTCTTCACTAAATATGACTAGCATAAAATTCTCTGAAAACTGATTGGATATTAGCATAATGGAATAGCTCATTTTCCCTTGAAATTTGAAGCCTTGTATATAATTTTACATACAAGTATCTCAATCTTGGCCACGTGCTTCTTTGATTTACAGGCGCAAAACACCAAGTGTTTCTGTAAATAGGAAACCTCTGGAAGTTAACCTAGCAGAAAGTTCTAGAAAGTTTATCACTTGCATCAGGAAGTACATATTGTTCTATCTGAAATTATTGGAGGAGACGGGAGATGTCTCTACGTTGGATCGGGCTCATGTTTCTCTTCGCTCAGATAAGAGGGTATCACCATTTGAATGAGTTTGGATTTTTGCCTATTTTTTGTCAATTTTTGATGTGGTTAAGTGGTTTATACAGGGTGTTCTTTTTGAGCTACATCCTTGATACTTCTTTTAGATTTGAAGCAAAATTTTTTTGTCAGAAACTCTGAAATAGTAAAATCTGTGCTATGTAAATATTGGCATATTGTTTCATTATTCTTGTTTTAGTAAGTAAATGAAATTAGTAGTGGCTTTTGTTTTTCATTTGATGTCAGATGCATGATCTGTCACACTACTGTTTAAAGCTGCCTAGATGGCTTTGAAAATTTTTTTTTAAATTTTTTTTTTTATAGTATAAGTGGGAGGTCTCAAAACCCAGGACCTCTCACTTACATTCCCTCCCCCGTACCACCCAACCCATCCCTCTCCGTTGGCTTTGAAAGTTGTTTACGCTGGGAAGAAATTGTCATGTCAAAGCATTGAAAAGAAAATTTTGTCTTGAAAAAGTTATTCCCGAGTATTTAGGAGGAAACCATAAGGTCTAAGCAAATAAGAAAGCTTCAAAATTGTTTTTAGGCAAAATCAACAACAGAGAACAGGTCCATACGCATGGGACAATCAAACAAATAAGCACGAATGAGATGCAGCCACATGTTCATCATGCTTGAGCAATGTGAGGAGAAAAGGACAGTTATGAAATTATGTTCTACCTTGCAAAGTATGTTTGTTAGTTACATAATCTAAACTTAATAAGCCTTTTTACTTGTCTTTTTCTCTTGATTTGAAAGATTAAAAGGTCAAAGAAAGATTGAGAAACAATCTTCTTAGACATGGAACTAGTGTTTATAATTTTGCATGATCTGGGTGATATTTGTTGTTACTAGTTTCAGATCAGATTTCTTTACAATAAATGATGATCGTCATTTGTCATAGAAACACTTTGTGTTGGTGGGATCATATTATCTTATTTGATTTTCAATTCAGTTCTCTCCATGCCTTGAGGATATTGTTCCGGTTGCCATCGGGAGGTACATCAAGACCTTAATTTTGTCCATCCAGCAATCTCTCTCGTGCTCTGATCCTACTCGTGGTGCTATTGAACATCTTCTGGAGAAACTATTTTCTCTGTTTTTAGACCAGGTCAACTTATGGTCAGACATATGCAACTTGCCTGAGATTAAGACCCCAGAATTGACGGAGAGCTATTTATATGGGTAACTTCTGTATGAACTTTACTTTGTGTTGTGACTTTAATATAATACTTTGCTTTAACAGTCTAGATGCCTTGTTGATTTCTGCTGGTTACTTTCATAAATCTAACTCAACTCCATCCTTGTGACACCTATCTTGACTGGTGAAATCAATGTACTTACACAGATTTTGTGTTTGGCCTTTGGTGCAGATATCTGTATCAATACATCCAATGCTTAGAGAGAAGTGTCAAGGTAGAAGCACTTGAAGGAATAAATGAGAAAATTAGGAAGCGTTTGAAGAACCCAAAGTTGTCTAATAGCAACTGTGCTAAAGTTTATAAGATCGTTTCTGTTGCTTGGTGTCGGTCTCTTGTTATTAGCATGGCTTTAATAACACCATTGCACTCAAGAATTCCAAGTGAGATCCATGTTCCAGGTTCATTAGGTAGTGGACTAGAAAATATACAGTTGCTCTGTGTAGATTTGCAATCAGATGAATTGTGGAGTTCATCATCTGATGACCTAGAGCATCTGAAGTGTCTTGAAACCAAATGGAATCCTTCATTGTCTAAGATCAAGAATGTGATAGTTAAGAGGGTATCAGATGAAGACTTGGAGACTGCTGCTATTTTGCTCAGATCTTCCTATAACTTTTACAAGGATACCTCTTGTGCATTGCTCCCATCTGGCATAAATCTTTATACGGTGCCATCTCAGTTAGCAACGGAGACATATGTCCAGCCAGGTATAGATGGCGTGGACATACTTGACATGAACACTTCAAGGAAGCTTCTTTTGTGGGCCTACACACTTTTGCATGGATATTGTCCAAACCTTTCAGTCGTCATTAAGTACTGTGAAGAAAATGTTAAGGTATGCAAGTAGATTATAGTTTTTATGTCAGCATCATAGATTTGCCAGTCAAATGGTGATTATCTCAGTGAAAAGAGTATGCAGAAAAAGCTTGTTGGATGTGGATAGAATGCAGGAGGGAAAAGGGGGAACTTTCATGAGTCTCATTCTTTCTAAAATAGCGGAGAAGATCTCTGGGCTAGCTGGTTTGTAAAATGTGTTTGGTTGACTAGAAAGGTTCTTCTCTTTTTTCACTTACCGCATTACCCAATTTCCGCAAATTCCTTCCTCTCCAAGAACCACCACCAACCAAACCCCACCTCTCCCAAAAAAAAAAAAAGAAGCCCTTTTTCAAGGTAAGTTATCTTACCTTTTAAAAACACATTGATTTTTAAACCTCCCCCTTTCCTTCAGAATGTGGTAGGCGTTGAACTCTGCAAACTGACCCTGCCTCTCCCCCAAAAGAAAAGAAAAAATGTTTTCAACGTAAGTTAGCTTGCCTTTCAAAAACCCATTGATTTTTGAACCTCCCCCTTTCCTTCAGAATGTTGTAGGCATTGAAGAATGTGTGTGGCAATTTGGAGTTGAGTCCCATTTTATCTTTTATTTTGTCACGCTAACTTTGGGGGTCCTGTAGGACATCCTGTCCAAGAAGTAAAACATAAAAATAAAACAGATTTGAGAAGGGTGAAGGTGGGAAAAGGAAAAACAATTGCTTTGTTGGTGGCACCTGGACTGATCCAGTATCGATTTGTAGTGTGAAAAGAAGCATTTCAGGGTGTTCTTTACCAAATTTTCAGCAAAAAGTTGGATAGTATCATTACAAGCTTGTGGAGCTTATAGTTGTTGCATTCTGGTTGTGATTGCAGGTGAAGATGAAAAAGGGGACTGGAACTCCATTGACACCTTCAAATACAAATGTTCCCTCGGGCTCAGCATCTAATACAGGTATCTATAAGCTCATTAAGGGAAACTCTTATACATGTGTACTGAATGATGCTAATTGGACTCGTATACTTACAACTGTCTTGTAGGGGGTGGCAAAGATGGAACTGGTAAAAGCAATGAAGTCGATACTCCCTCTATCTCTTCTGCTACTGCTGCTTCCTTGCCTGAAATAGATACTACAACTAAAATGGCATCTTCTCCATTACCTGAAAAGCTGGAGCCGAGCAATGTTGCATCTGCTTCTTTGCAGGGAACCGAGGCATGTAATTTGGCATCCGTATCTCCGACTGAAACAAAGATTATCTGCAGTGTATCATCTACATCTATGCCTGATAGTGGGAGCACAAATTTGCCAAATGTTGTATCATCCAATGAGAATCAAGGGTTTCCATCAGCTACTTCTGATCTTCTCGATTGTAACGTTGTTCCCACAGAAATGAGCCGTGTGGATATAGAAGGTGCCTCAGATCTGAGCAATGATTGATTTCTCACGGGGCGGACAAATTTTGGCCAATTTTACGTCCGATAACATGAAAATGATTCATTTTGGTGTATATAATTTGTCTGTAGGGAAGAAATGGGAACTGGTAAAAGGCAACAGCTTGTGAATATTGATAGTAGTGTCTCTAGACTCTAGTGGGTTTCTTATGTGCCCTTGTACAGCTGCAATAAAAAGTTTCATTGGGGTACTTCCCGTATGATGTTCGCATGTTATACAGACGCTGATTTAATTGTGCATTTTCCTGCTTCTATCTAGCAGATGTTTATATTGATAATAAACATTTACATGCCCATTGCAAATCCGATTGCTGGAAATTTGCTAGTAATTTTGGAGCTGAAGTTTTCCAAGTGAAGGTGCACACGTACATTGGAAGGCTGAACTCATTTGCATGGTGCTGATTTGAGCCAATAAGCAGCTTTGAAGCAACAAGTAAAACACACAAGTTGGGTAAGACAACTTGTTTTCTTTTATGGTGAGGTTTCCTTAGGCAAACAACTGCCCAACTTTGCCCAAAAGTACCACTAAAGTAGTAAAATAGATTACACAGTTTTTGTAAAATATCCTCTGGCATTAACATTTCTTTTCACTATCTGACCAAAATTTCATTACGATGATACTTTATTATACAAAATGGTACTATAAATCATTAAAATTCTATGTAGAAGAAATAACCGATAGCATGAGTTTGCTTTTCTTATGTGGGTGTAAATTAATCCTTGAATATACAGAAAGGAAATCTATGTCATTAAAATTCTATGTACAAAAATTAATCGAGAGCGTCTCTTACGTGAGTGTAGATTAATCCTTGAATATATAGAAAGGAAATCTATTACTTAGAAATGTTGTAATTTACCGTCACCTTTATAAGTAGATTCATGTAAAAAATTATCTAACAAATTTATAAGTAGATTCATGTAAAAAATTATCTAACAAAATTAAATATATAAAGCCACAAGGTTATCTCAGCTGTGAAACGGGCCATCGGTAATTGGACTCCAACCTCCGAATCAGGCCCACGTCCGCCAAAACAGCCCCGATAGACATCTACCTAAAACAGGAACTTGCAGAGTTGAAGCTGTAATTTTCTCGTTTTTTCAGTAATCTGCAAAAAATGGGAAGCAGAGCTTTCATGGTTTTGCTAAGTCATAGAGGAGCATACATTAATCCTTCTGCTAATGCTGCCCAACTTTTCTTGACTTTCGGGCAAAGCCCATTTTCTCCTGTGAAGATAAAATGTCTTGTAGAACGCAGGAATCATAGGACAAGCCACAACTTCTCCACCGCAGCAAACTCTAGCCTTGAGCCCCCTAATCTTCCTCGTTTGGCTGAAACTGCTCGAATTTCCCTCACCCCAGATGAAGTATTACTACTATATATATGCCCTTTTCTTCCTTGTCTTCATATCCATGTGTACTCGTATAATTGATGACTTAGAAGTCCGTGTTTTTTCTTTAAGCAGAGTTGCAAAGGTATATTTTTGGATTGTAATCTTTATTTTTCCCCTTCCTTTGTTGGGTGTTTACAGGTGGAAGAATTTGCTCCTAAAATGAAACAAGTGGTAGATTGGTAATGTATCTTCTTTCTTTCTTTCTTTCTTTGGCTGTCTCTCTTTCTTATAACTAATAACATATGCATGTATGATTGAAATGTGGGAGTTTGCTGAAGAGCCTTATATTTATCATTTGTTTGCGGAACTTAAAAATTGAAGTTTTGTGAATACTGATCATAGTTTTAGGCTTCTACACTTGAATGTCAGCCTGACTGGTGTAATTTTGATTTTCCCTGTGAACTTTTGTGTATTGGTTTGCTCTAAAATCTGATATGAAATGACATAAAAAAAATTGATATAAGTGTTTGTAATTTACAAAATCAGAGATGTGGGTTTTGTTCCAAATACAATGCTCTTTTACAGTATGGTCTTAGACTGGAGTATTTTATCTATGCTTCTTCATCATAATTTGAGTGAATCAAATTAGTTTACAGACTGATTTGCTGAAACTCGTGTAGTTCTTAGTAGCATTCAAATGCAGTCTAGAAGCAAGTTTTGCATCCAGAAAGGATCATTCGACTGATCTCCCTGAATTTTTGCACCGACATGAAGTTGTTTTTATAAATCTGATGTCATAAAAGGGTAGTTTCAGGGTATGAGCTATGTTGATGATTGTCTCTGGGGATTGGTATAGTTTTTCCTTTGTAACTAGACACGCCATTGCTTTGTTCTAATTTTTAAAGGCTTTCTTGTAATTGGATTATTCTTTATGAAACAGGTTTGGGCAACTCCAAGCTATTGATCTTGAAAGTATTGAGCCAGCAATGCGAGCAGGTACTTGACAGTTTTGAATGAAAATCTTTATTTGGTAGCTAGTCTATAGTTGAAACGCTTGATAAGGCTTACCTTTTGGTCCGATTTTGGAACTCTAAAAAAGAGGTCAGGCTTTCTGTAACATTAAAGAATGAAAGTATTTTTTTAATCTGCTCCTTCCTTTTTATTTCTTTCAGGCATTATTGTGTCTACCTCTTGTTCTACTTGATTTATTTAAAATTATTCTCAGCATGTTCACTTGCTTATCATTGAAAATATCTAGCATTAGCTGATTTGAACCCACAAGGTGGGAGATTTGTCAACTTAAAGTGCAGGAGACTTCGTGCTGATAACATGCAATTGGAATTTACATTGGCTTGTTTTCATATTTTTTTCAATGTTGCTCCACCCCAGCAACCAGAATATTGATATTGCTACTGATGATCCTTTCTTGCTTTGACAATCTGTCATATAAGTGAATAAGAATATAAGCACGAACAAGACATGCCTTCTTGGTTTCATCTACTGCTATTGTCCTTTGACTGCAGATTTTATACTTTAGTTACAAATTCATTTGTTGGAAATATGTTGAACTGCAGATACTGAAGATGACAATTCACGTGATGATTTACCTCAAATTTTTGAGAATCGGTTGGTATCAGGAATATCTGTGATCTACTACTGTTCAAAGTAGCATTGCATCTCTGTCTGCAATTATAAGAATCATCACTTAATCTTAGATGAACACACGTTCTCAACAGGGAAGCAATAATAAAAGCTATGCCAAGCTATGAGGAACCTTATATCAAAGTTCCAAAGGTCTTGAACAAGGAGTAGAACTCTACTGGTGTGTTTTCCTCCTCTCATAAGTGTTACTTGAATATACTAAGGTTGCTTATGAAGAACGTCTTACCTCATCTATGTTTAGCCTCTTTGCATTCGCACTTTGTATTTTCTGTTTTTATGGTCTTGTTTTTGGTTGCTCCATGTCAAACTTCAAAATTTACCTCTCTTGACTCTTTTGTTTTTAGGTTAAACGGGGATTATGAATGGGGTGTGATCCCAGTCAATTTACATACATAAGCTTGCATTACTGATTTTCAAACTTACAAGTAGCATGAGTTACATTCCTAGTTCCATTTTCTTGTGTTTTTATGATCATTAGCTCATGGCATCTTGAATTCTTTTCTATGGTTGACTTATACTGGAAATACCAGTTTGATGTACTTGCGCCAGTTGATTATGTATCTGTGTAATCATTTGCATTCAGTATATTCACAGTTTAAGTAGTTTGGTGCATCTTTCTAGTCTCTAGGTATCTTTATATCACATACTCTTATCCCATCTTACTGGACAGGGTTGTGGAATGCACCAATTAACAAATTATGGGTTTGTGTTGGACAGAATACATGATGAAGCTGGACTGAGCTTCTAGTTTCTGACAAGATAGTGAAACCCGTTCGGCCTCCCCAAGTACGCAAATCTAAATTTTAAGGAGCTGTAGAATCCATTTTCTGATTCATAGTTCTCCCAATAAAATAGGGGATTGTGCTTTGTTACAGTTTTTGTATGTTCAGAATATTATAGTACGTTTGAGTTGAAATTATATTTGACTGTAAAAACATGAGAAAATTATTATGATTGACATGCTGCTTGAAAAGAAATGCAACAAGGACTGAAGGAATACAACTACAACCTAAATTTGTGGACAAAATTTGGACAAAAATGACAATTTAAACTGATAACTTGCATTCAGATGAAGGTTTCGAGATAAACAGTATAAGCACAATAAAACAAACAAAAAAAAAAAAATCATCAAAGCTCGGGTTTGGTTAATTTGGAGCAACAGATTGCCCTTTTCCTGAAATTCTGGTCATAATTTCCTGTTACAAAATAATGCTATACATTCTTGTTTGACAGTTCATCTACCTCCCTGATATTTGATGTATTGGAGTCTGATCTTCTTCAAAGTTTCAAGAACACTTTCATGCAAGTCTTTCCTTGGGAGATTCAGACACACAACTTAAGTCCAGTTCCATGATTGATGATGGACCTTTCGACTTTTCTGGTATAGTTGTTCATTTGGTTTCAACAAGTTAGCATCTATAACTTGAAGAATCTCACTAGGCATCAAACCTTTAACCCAACCCTTCAGGTTCAAATACTCACCAAATATTTCACAGCAGGGCTAGTAGTAGTAGTGTTGGTTATTCCTTCAACATATCACAGAGACAGGTCCGAGAGTCACTTCTTTCACTGTTGAGTGTTCTCCATGCATGATGCACCCTCATTTGGTACAAACTTGACAACAATGCAAACCTTCTTCTCTCCTCAAAACATATTCAGTACAGTGGTTGGTTGTACTCTACTTTTTGGTGCAGCAACCCAGTTAAGTGAAAGGACGATTGCTCAATTCTATTCTTCCGTGCATCTTGCTTTTAGAGATTTTTTTTTTATTTTTTGAACATTAAATCTAACCATTAGCTATCCATCTTGTTTTCAGGAGAACTTTTTCTTTGAATTCAAAATCAAATTTTTAGCAACAAGGCTAGTTATTATGTATACTTTATTATTTCCCTCCAATCTCATCAATATCTATACAATATCTATGCTATATATAAATGGAGAGCAGTAGTAGTTGGTATAAATATTTTCTGTCGTTTTTCAAACTTTCAATTTTACCCCTACATTTTTTTTTACCCTAATCACCTGATCACATTTCTTGACACAACCGCTCATAACTACTCCAAGTATTGCAACTACTAAATAATCTATTTTTTAATTGAAGAAAAAATTACCTATAAATTGAAGTCTGTTAATGAAAAATTCGTATAAAATTTATTAGTGTAAAAATAAAATTCACAAAGTCTAAATTGCACACACATTGGGCGTGCCTTAAACATGACTATAAATTTATCAATTTTAATATTTCACAATAGCCAGTTTTACAGCAAGTTGACGAATGCAACGCCAAACAATAGAATAAACAAACCTTCAGACTTGGTTCTTTGGAGGTAACTTCATCCAAACTTTGAGGATGCTAATTGGCATGAATAGCCGTTACTTGTGCATTGGCTCGAGTACAACCTCGACTCCATTTCCATGGGCTTCACCCTTGTGCTATGCACTAACAACCCCTACCTGTTTCTGTTGTACTGGCACCTGCGATTACTGCCATGATCATACTCCAATCAAGCTACATCTCTGCACTTTCTGTGTTCTTAATTTGATCCATAGATATGCAGCATGGTACCAACGCTGTTCAAGGAAGTTGTACAGTATCTTCAAGCGAGCATGGAATGAGGCATGATCTTACAAGTTACGGTAGGCAAATATGTTCACAGGATTCCTCACCAACAACAAACTGCTCTCAGTGACTAAATCTCGTCCACCTCAAAGAGTACAGTAGAAAGGCTATACATGTACCCGTCAGATCTTAGATGATCCATGAACTGATCAAGCAGATTGTAGATTGCCCTTGAATCTTCATGTCTTTCGTCACTCACCATGAATTCATGTATATTGCCACAGATTTCAATGGAACTAACTGCATCATGCTTTTTGATACCATTATCATTCATCAATTTTCTTATATTCTTCATGTCTCCCCATCTTTTAGCTTCAGAATAAATGTTTGACATGAGCACATAGAGCCCACAATGACTAGCATATGGTTCCTGCTCCAGCAGCTGCTTTAGGACCTGCTCTGCAATTGTGATATTATGATAAATCCTACAAGCATTCAATAAAGAACTCCAAATAACAGTGTGTGGCTTCATTGGCATTCTTCCTATCAGCTTTACTGCTTCATCCAAAAAGCCTCCACGCCCAAGAATATCAATCATGCATGCATAATGCTCAATTTCACGTGGTACTCCATACACAGAACTCATTTTGTCAAAGTAATACCACCCAATGTCTGTTAGACCACTGTGACAACAAGCAGATAATAAGCCAATGAAGGTGACCTTGTCAGGCCACTTTCCACCAGCTTGCATCTCTTCAAATAGCTGAATGGCTTCATGTCCAAACCCATGAAATGCCAGGGCTCCAATCATGACATTCCAGGAGACAATATTCTTCTCTGGCATCTCATTAAAAAGATCAAATGCATTTTCAAGAGAACCACATTTTGAGAACATATCTATAAGTGCATTATTCAAAGTAACACTAGAGTTTATGTTGTTACAGCGGATATAATCCTGAACTTTATTCCCCATCACCAAATCACCACGTTGGCAACAAGCTGAGAGAACGCTAACCAAAGTAATCTCATCAGGCTCCACTTTAGAGTTGCACATTTCAAAGAAGAGATCCAATGCATCCTGCAAGCAGCCTTCATGGATACAACTTGACATCATTGCATTCCAAGAAACAACATTTTTCACGGGCATTTGGCTAAAAATATCCTTGGCTCTTTCAAGGCAACCATGTTTGGCATAAGCAGTAAGAAGAGAGGTCCAAGAAACAACATTTCTATGGACCATACGATCAAAAAGTGTTTGTGCTGCGTGAAGGTCTCCACACTTAGCATACATATCAAGAAATGCATTTTGCAAAACAATATCAACACCGATCCCATTTATGACAACATTGTGGTGAACGAACTTCCCCAACTCCAAGTTGCAATCATGAGAACAAACAGAAAGCAAATACATAAGAGTAAAAACATCGGGTTGGATACCTCTACCCCTCATTTCAAGAAACAGCAAGAACGGTTGTTCGCCACAACCCACTCTCGCATACCCACCAATCATCGAATTCCAGGAAACCAAAGTCTTTTCCATGATTTCATCAAACACCTTCCTGGCGGAGGCGATAGTCCCACAGCGAACATATACATTTATAAGACCATTTTCAACACAAACATGAGATTCATATCCTAATTTAACAGCCATCAGATGAACTAAAACACCATCTCTATAACTCTCTTTAATACCACAAGCCTTCAGAACAAAAGGAAACGTAAATTCATTTGGAAAAATAGCCGAAACAATCATTTGCTTATACAGTATCATAGCCTTTTCTGGATCTTCACTATTTGCATAACCCCGGATTAAACTGTTATACACGTAACGGTTTCGCTGAGGAATTTCATCAAACAGTATCTGCGCATATTGAATATCACCCCATGGAGAGAGTGCATAGGACGCTATGAGTTTGGTTACAGTTAAGTCACGATGGGCTAGGCCATGGACGATGATTCGGGCGTGCAGACTCTTGATTCCTTTCACGGATAAGCATTTTTTGATGAGGGAATGGAGGGCTTGGAGCCGAGGAGATTGAACATTGTGAGCGAACGACGACGAAGTAGTACGGTTACAATTAAGGCGGGAAGCAACGGTCAAGTACCCAAGAGATTTGAACATATCAGTCCCACGTTGGACTTCAAATCTGCTTGGGTTTTGGTGCTCCGAAACTTCTCCAAAGTAATATTCACTCCAAACTCCACCCTCTGCATCCTTGTAATCTAAACCTTGAGATCTCCTCCCTTTATCTTGTAACCATTCGAGCAGGTTTCAACCATCAGGACTCACTGTCAATTTCCTCGGCATAAAATCAGAAGCCCAAAGCCACAATCACGTGACCATTACCTCCGCTTACCCTGAAGCTCATCCAAAGTACTCCAAAAGTTACCACCTCATTTGCAAAGAGCACAAATGAATCCACCTAATTGAATTTTGACTTAATGAGCCAAATTTCAATTTAATTTTTTAAAATTTGAACCCGAACTCAAAATGTAATGTTCGAGTTCAAACTAGGTTCAAATTTGAGTTTGAGTCGAGCTCAAGCATAAAAAAAAATATATATAATTATTTTTATTTTTTAAAAAATAAATAAAATAATAATTTTATTAACAAATAATAAAATATTAATATATATATATATAATCACACCAACTCGTAAATACCTTTAAACTCGAGTTCGACTTGATTAACTCGAACCACTCACAAGCCAATTCGTTTGCAACCCTAGAAGAGACTTCTGGAACAAAAGCTATCATCAGACAATTAAGAATCAGTTATGAACATTGTGAACCAGACCACAAAAATGAAACGCTCCAGTACACCATTGTCCAAGAATATCTGATGCCACCATTTTGTTTCAACCCCAGCTGTGCGAGGGAAGAGTTAAATCTGTTCAAACGGTACTCAAATGGTAGCCGTAGGCTTGAAATGACTCGATAAGCAGGAGCAATGCTATCACATATAAGCACACCGCATTGCTGACATTCGACAAAAAAAAAAACAGTAAATAGGGTACGAAGATCAATAATAACCACCGCAAAGCAACTCTATATGAATAGATGGCATGGCAACAAAACCATGTATGAATCGATGGCCTGGAAGACAATAATACAATACATCCATACTAAATCATTAGCATTATTAAGTAGAATGAACGACTCTCTCTTGCTGGAATTGAAAAGAATTAACAACTAGAAGAAATCTATTCCTTGCGCATATCCATTTACATTTACATTGCAAAAGCTACAGCTGCACATCAAAAATGGTCAGCTACACACATGATGCCAATCTCTTTTATCTCTCTCTTTCTATCTACGTCATTTTCTAATTTCCTTTCATTTTGCTAAATACCTTTCTACTCCTGTATTAATCATTCTATTTCTACACTCTACACTGAGGCCACGTTAAACGAAAATGCACCAACACGAACCGAACAACAACTGGATGGTGTTAACATGTAAAAATCATGATTGCCAGAACAATTCGAAGTCAGTGCTATACAAAGAGCGATCTTGAATCTCCAAATTTGCAACATGCCAATTTATAAGCTGCGACTGGATACATTTACACAAAACCAAAGCAAAAGGAAATATCCACCATTCACTTTCATCCCTGCATCCACAGCAATTAAGGAGACAACTTTAGAACATGCATTTGCTGTTCAAAATCGCAATAACTCCTTAAATGAAATTATTGAGCACTGCCAATGAATTCTCTTACATGTTCCAAGGCTGAATGTACGGAATTTTTCTCCTTGATTGGGTGGTGTAACGGACATATCCACAAACAAAGGCAACAACCTGATACAAGAATTCAAATTTTAACAAATCATTTATCACATGAATTTGTAGCTATTTTGTTTGTGTGCGCTCGTGTGTTGGGGGTTGGGGGAGGGGGGAGGAGATTGGAAATGATTACTCACAAGGAAAACTTAAATAAGCATAACGGCAGAAATAAAGTTAAAAAATCAGATGAAGCATATAATAACTAAAAGATCTGCATCAACCCCCTGCCATTGGTGCTAAAGAACGATTCTAGAATAAACATTTACAAAAATAAGCTACTTACAACATTTATCAGGGATGTGACATTCCACAAAGCATACAGACGGGCAAGACTGGCTGAATGTCTTGGTCCATGACTGAATAGAGCATTGATTCCAGTAGGGAATGGAAGTAAGATCCCCAATGGTAGAATAAACAAAAAGAGGAAGACATCGGCCAATGAAACTGAGTACAGCTGGAGCATAGTCAACAAAACTAAGCTGAAATCACCTAGAAGTAGCATTGAAATGACCAAACCAACAAGATCCTGCAGTAAAGGCGCAAGGCATGTTCAGCGAGCAAATAGCACCTTGAATAATATTAACAGCACGACATGCAACAAATACCATCACAGACAGCATCTATGCATGCATTTGCAGAAAGAGAGAGAGAGAGAGAGAGAGGAGCAACTACCTGGTGGCCAACAGGTTTAGTGTTATGCATTAGAAAAGAGAGCGCAAAAAGTATATCTCTTTTCTCCTCAATTTTCTTTAAGCAGTTGACATCTAGAATCCCACCATAAATCTTCCGCCTGACATTACTTTCACTGCTTCTACGAGTCAGACCAAAGAATGAATCTTCTGTTAAACTGGATGGAACTTCCCAATTAATAGTGCTACCGCTGTATCGAGAAAAAAAAAGAGAGGGGGGGGGGGTGGAGAAGAAGTTATGCTCAAGGGATTTGGCAAAAGGGTTGGCAAATAATATCTATAAATTTTCCGTAACCAAGAGTAATTCAGCTGGAAATCTGCACGTCTAAGAAGACTACCCCAAAGCAAATAGTATTAGAGTTCCAGGACAAATAAAAATCAAACAATTTAACACTTTTGTAAAATTTATCTAGCTACCTACTACTATCGGGCTTTTCCAGCAATGCTTCAATGTTACCAACTGAACTTTCGGCAGATTATAATACATGCCACTATTAGTCACTTGACTGAGAATGTTGGTTAAACAAACTATTGAAGTACTCCAGACTTAGTCTTAGATGCAGCAGTCAAAACCACCGGCACCTCCCAGGCCAACCTCATCCCAATAGCTTTCATTTACTTATATCAGGGGGACTGCAGCATGCCCTTGCATTGTAAAAATTACTCTCCTTAATTTTCCCCTTTTTTTGGCAAGATGGGTTAAGCAATTACTAAGAGAAAGAAATTTAGAAACTTAACCCCCCCCCCCAAATATGTTTTTCTTTTAATAAAAAAAGTATTTATGAGCCTAGTGGGACGACAGAGATGGCCATGGAAGGGGCAGTCATCGTTGTTGCTGGATAAGGGTGTGGTCTTTTAGTCTGGATTCTGAATCTCCTAGAGACGCAAGTCACATTTTTCTCTTCGGATGATGTGCTTTCATGCCTGCACTAGTTTATTTTGTAGCTTTTTATATTAGCTCTGTTGACTACAGAATTTTTTGACAATATCATACCTGCAAAAGAACTAACAATCATGTCCACTTGGAACACCTATTTGCATTCTTGACTTCTGAAACAAATACTCATGCAACTAACATAATCTGCTGGAATGGTGTAGTATAGAACAATACCGTAACTGAGGCCCAGTCCTAAGAGCTCCATCAAGGTCTTGAAAAGACAAACGTCCAGTATCTCCATCAACAGCATCTAACACAAGCCCATATTGACAAAAACCACCAGTGGTAGTCTGAAACCAAGCAAGATCTACATGTATGGCATAGATCTTTAAAGCAGGATTGGCAAAAGTTTCCAGCCACTTGAAAACAGGCCGAAACGTCGACCTGAGGCAACCACGACGTACTAAGCGTAATTGGGCATTCAAACCAGCAACAAATCGGAACCATGTGGTAGGTGGGACAGCCTGCATACTAAGAATTTTGAGAACCATACCTTATTTTTGTGTAGAAAAGTTTAATGAATAGCACATGTGAACAAACAGTGAAATCAGTGCCAAGCCAACTTGCTCGAAGCTAAGGAGAAAGAAAAGCTCATGCATTGTATTCTAGTGTATCAAACATCTCAAGGCAATCAAAATATCACATAAACCGTCCGAGTAAAAACATCTTGCCTTTCTATTTGCAATTGAGGTTCATTTACCTACATCCAGCTATAAACCTAAGCGGTATAACACGACAAACCTGACTCATAAGACTAGTGGTGATATTGTCACTGTGAAGTGAGAAGGGAGCCATGTAACTTCCATCACCTCCAAACAGCAAATACATAGGAAACCTTTGATGAAGACGAGGAGGTAGATCACTTCTTTTCTCATCCCCACCAAGAAAGAAGTCCATATATGCAAGCATTAGGTCAGATGTAGCAGCTACCTAAAAATTGAAAAAGCTCGAGTATGTTAGTATCAATTCACATTTAGGTTGCTCTGGACAATGGAAATACTTTTAATCAGATAAACAAGGGTTCTGCAACATTCGCTCCAAAAACAGTACTATGTTTTGTAGTAATGACAATAGCTAGCCAGGAAATAGTGCTTTAGAGAGAAATAATGAATAAACAAACATAAGAAGCTAAAAAAGGAGAACAAATAATACACCACAATTCACCTGAAGAAAAGCCAAGTCTTTATTTTTTGAGGTGGCCTTAAGAATCAATTACATCCAGTTTTGGAAAAGAAATAAAAGCAGAATGGCTAATCAGCTTACTATTTCTATTGAATTAGTATCATCTGTTATTTACAACTTTCCTATTGTATTTACAGAAAAAAGTCAGAATGTGGGAAAGCAGAGAGCTAGAAACAACCAAATGAGTCATATCAAAGAGCTAGTATGCAATTATTTCCATCCAGAAAACACATTGTGCCAGAAGTTCCCCTGATCAAATCTCGTATACTTATCCATTACTTCACCCAGCAATTGAAAGAAACAACAATAAAACAGACCTATCAACAATTGAATACTTTTTTTCCTCGTACTAACTTTTCCCCTTACTATTAATTTCTCAAAGATTATGACTGTGAATTGGTAGAGCCTATGGATTCTGCTTCCAGTCCTGGCCAACCCCCAAAACCACCTTCCGCCCTTCATCAATAATATGTATGTCCTTTTCATAGGCTCCTATAGTAAATAATTTGCTGACACTAACAAGGTATAATTGAAGCTCTAAAATATAGTAGTATGCCGCTAAGTCAAAAGGAAACATCCCAATCAAACAAGGAAACTCCCAAAAGTGAACAAAAGAGCTGACTAATGTCCAATTGACCACCACAAATAAGAGCAAATTGAAAGACATATCATAATGCACTTGAACTCCTCAAGAGACTGAACAGAATTATGCAAAACATGTATAACTACCTAAATTCCTCTTTTCTATTGAGCAAAAAGCTAACCTTAAGCCCTTCATAGAGAGCACGGGACCGACAAGAACGTAAACAAGCATGATCATATTCTGATCTCACAAACTCACGGAGACGTTGTAACTTGATCCTACGGCGCCATTGCTGCCACGACCATGCAAGAGGATATGCAACAATACATAGAATGCTATGCACTGATCCTTCCCACCACTGATATGCTGCTATAGCATTGATCTCATCTACAAATGTGTTGAATGCACCTTCATACCTACAAATTCAATTTTCAAATGCAAAACAATTTCATCATACTTTTAGTGAGAACTAATCTAAGATCTAAAAGAATGTATATCTAAAAAAAATCCCATCCACCAACTGCAAAGCCCAGAAGAGGAAATTTCGGAAACAGAGAGATGACAAACATGGGTCCTTAGTATGTATAAACAAATTAATAAACCCAAGGCTTGATCTCGGATATAAATATATTTGGAATGCATTCGGACCAGATGCATAACTATAAGAGAACTACAACAGGCCTTAAACTAAAACTTACACAATTTCTTTTATTTCTTCAGGAGGTGTATGAGGAAGATGCCAGGGTTCACCAAAAGTATTAGGACCCAGAAAATACATTCTATGTACGTGACTCTGTGACTCCTCAACTCTATTCGTCTCCAAAACCTGAAAGTTTTGACATGTATCAGACTTTTAGTCCTTTCAATGCTGGCTGAAATTGTCTAGATATTAGATCAGTCACAATCTTGTTATATTATTTTGAGTCCATACATCAGTCATTATAGCAAGATAGGATAATGCAATGTCATCCAGAGAATACCTCATTAAGTGACTCCAGGAATGGAAATGAATGATCAATTTGGGAGCCATGCCGTGTGGGCCCAGGACCTGGTAATTCATCAACCCCAACAAACTTCATTCGTGCAACGCTGAGGACCAGGGCTAATAAAATGAGGAGACCCAATAGGAGAAGACCAAAAAGCCAAGGCCCTCCAAATGTGTACATCAACTCCTCAAGGGCAGTGTAACAGTGAGGCATGTGATACCTCTCTGAAAGACATTGATATGGACAAGGTGTTTCAGTAATGCCGCCTGCAGTAGGGATGTGGTGAAACATTACATTAGCACAAAAATTAAAAGATCAACCTCACTGCCACAACCAAATGTTCGCTTAAACACCTTTACCAAGAAGCAAAATGAGGGATACATTTACAGTCCTACCCTCTTTATAAAACTCTTAAGACTTATTTTGAAAAAAAAAAACTCCAATAATACATTCCCTAAGCTGAAATATTTGCATCTATACGCATTCGCAAGCATTAAATATGTTCCACTAGAATTAACAAAGCCAACAAAATCAAGACTCACGCGTGAAACAGGTACACCCTCCATTGCGAAAAGACAGTATATTTACAGGAACATAAATTTTATGAATGGGGAGAGATGTCAGTAGATCATGTTTTGCTTTTCAAAATTTATCCAAGTTGCCCACATAGGTTCCCCCTCCCCTCCCTCCCCCCCCTCCCCCCCAGGGGCTGCCCAAATGAGGCTGATGAAACACGATACCCAACAGATATATTGTTAGCTATTTGAGGTTTAGGCAAATGCATGCACCACTCAACTGATACAATGCATATATATGCCATTGTAAGGACTGAAAAATTCTCTCTTTGTTCTTGGGCCCACATAAGGAAAGGTATAAGTTGGAGGGTGTTAAGCTAATATCTATTTCAGGACAAACCAAAATAAAAAGCATGACGAGTTGATGTGAGGGAGGGAGTAAATGGTTTTGATAATAAATCATCTCCTGAAAATCAGGCTTATGTCTTGTGCTCCACTACAACCAACTTCCCCCCCTAAAGTGCCTCCGGACTCTAATTTACTATAGATACTGTCCCCAAATTCTCAGGCCAAATGAAGATGTAAAGTTCCAAAATAAGTTAAAAGTCAAGAGCGAACTCCAGGAACAAATTAGCCGCGAAAGCAAAAAACAAACACAGAGGATCACAATTCCCAGGCATTGTATAAGTATCCATCATTTGTCTAATTCTCTGAATAGCATCAATGGTAATTGCAGTTAAATTGTATATAAACCCTATGCAGCTCATCAAATGTGTTAAAAAAAAATCGAAGGCATTATACAAGAAATACCTCGGACCAAAACATAAGTAGCACGATGAGGAAGCTCATTGCTAGGGCATGGGAAACAGAGAGAGCTATCAGATCCTGATACATTCTTATATGTGCCAGCTGGACATTCCTGTAGAATCACAAAATATGATATCCATGAATTAACCAACAAATGGGATGGCAGTTCCAAGAACAGAAATGAAATATTTTCAGAAAGTTCTCTTTCTGCTTCAGGTTTGAACCTTTGGAGATCAATATAATAAAGAACAAAAAGGTCGAAAACCATGTAAACAGTATGATGTGAGATTCATTAAATAGCCAAATCCCCCCCCCCCCAAAAAAAAAACTTTTGTTCAGTCTACAGAAAAGTATATACTTAGTTTCTGGGTAATGTACACACTAAAAACAAATGGAAGCAACAAGTATAAAACATATTTTACTCAGAAGCAAACAGAAAATGAACGATGGCAGAAAAAAGAATGCTTCAAAAAATAATTATGCTGACAATATCACAAGAAGTTACAAGATTAACATACCTCACAAAATACTCCAAAAAGACCTTTTGGACAAGCTTTCCCCGTAATGGTTCCAGCTTCCCCAGCATTACATTGGTCCACCCCAATCCCACCTCTAAAGTAGAAGCACACTGGTTAATGTACTTTGAGGCACAATGAACTAGTAGTAAAGAAACTAATCAATCATCACCTTTCACAATTATGAATTAATAAAAGATTACAGAAACAAGAATCTGAAACTACTTGAAGGCACAATCAGCAGATACCAAAGAAACTGGCCCTGCTGTTTTTTAAATAAAAAGAGTCTTCAGCCACATGAAAGATGTCAGCAAATGGAAATGAAAGCTTGGTACTTACTACATCTGAGTGGGTATGTACAAAAGACGATTAGACCTGATAGTGAGAAACATCTTGACAACAGTTTAACAGGCAACACACTAATCATAACTTTACCCTCATGGATGGAGTGGCAATTGGGTTTTTGCAGTCTCCTTGAAAATCAAGGATCATCATGGTTAGGTATAAAGCAAAAATTCATGAGAAGAATGAATCATCATTCAAACAGTGGGTTGCAGCATTGAAGTGGGAGACAGAATCATATATTCGAAACATGCAAGGCACCAATTGCGGAATCTTCAGTTTGGTATTGACTTCTTGAAGCTACATCTACCGAAGTCGATTTTAAAAATTTTAGAAATTGCAGGGAAATTATCAGCTGCATGCAAATTGTGTAAGAAAAACTATGGGCTTCATTTTGATATCTTCCTAAAATAAATTCAAAAGATGTCCAAACCACAAATAAACATCTCAGTTGCATAGAGGTTCAGATTGTGGGGGTTATCCATGCTTCACCTGCATTTTGTTCTTGTGTCAAACTTTGTTCACCAATTTCATTAATTTTCTAAGACAACATTTTAGCATACATATCTCTTAGTCTGGACCTAAACTAAAATTATTAATACATTAGCACCACATCCTCATGTTTTTTACGACAATGAGGAGCAAAATATCTGCCAAAAGTTGGAGACAACCACCTCATCTTATATCAGAATACCACACAAGTCCAATGTGGCAGCAACTAAATTCAACGAGAGATTGTAGATCATGCATCACATAAAAAATGTACAATTACTATTTCCACTAACCTGGTCAGGATGCTTCCATTTACAGTAGCTATGGGCTGATACATGTCTCCAGTTGGAATATCTGACCAATGGAAGTGAATTCTCCCCCCACCACCTCCACCAACACTGCCATGACCCCCAGCACTAGACATAGCACCAGACTCACCAAGATCCAGGGAATGCAAAAACAGTAAGATTGTTCCACCAGAACCTCCCCCAGGATGGAAACTGTCTTTGCTTTTCAACTGTCCTCCAGAACCGTCTCCATCAGCTTTAACCGAACCTTCAACAGATAAACTTACCAGTGGATGCTCCCATGAACCCATCACTTCATGAATCAAGGGGAAAAAAATGAATAATCAAGGAAGCAGTGCAACACAGACGAGATCATTTCAACATTCAGAAAGCCATGCATAAACTTCAAAGACACATATTTCAATGAAATTGTCAGCAGTATAAGCTGTTCATTTCTCCACTCACAAGAAATTACAGATTTAAAAGATCTTCATTAAACAAATCAGAATGGAAAATTTTAAAAATAAATAAATAAATACTTGAAAAATGACAAGTAATAGTCTATTGACGGAGCTACCAAAAACTATAGATGGTTTATTAAGCTTGCAAATTTGCAGAGAGACCGAAACGATTAATTCATGAGGCCTGCAAATGGCAAGAATCTCCATCTCAACACAAATGCATTATTAAGCTTGCAAATGGCAAGTACCTCCTTAACTTACTCATAGTACCAGGTTTCAAAGAAGAAAGAGATGGGTACTTTCCACCTCCCTGCGATTCAGTAGCAGACCGTGTAATAGAAGCAAATACAATCAGAATCTTAAAGTTCACAACAAATGTAACATTTAAAACAAATAAAAAAACTTCGCTGGGTAATTTTCAAAATATGGTCTAAATAGGAAACACATTTGAAAGGTTATATGGACTAATTTGCAACATTGAGAACAAGAATACAATCTAGCAAGAATAAATGAGCAAGTTCTAAAACCAAAAGTTAAGGAAACATGTAGCTGTAGATGCCGACAATGAAACTGAAGTACATTTAGCTTTACAATAGTTTAAATATAAAAAATCACTGTTATTCAAGCAAAACATACATTTTACTCAAACTCTGTTAATGAAAATTTCTGTAAATATAACTATCAGGTTAATGACATAATTCTTACCCAAGATCAACACACAAAACTAACTCCAATGCTGCTGCAAGTAAAATACCTAATTCCTAATGGGAGAAAAGTCCTAGGATGTACACAATGAACCAAACAAACTATGACTAGAAAAACAGGTTGACTTCAGCAATATGTTTAAGCATCCTGTGCAGCAGGAAAATCTGACAAGACCCCTTTCTTCATTCAGCTATATGGAGACTACAGATTTCCTGGAAGGAACACTTAATGCTTGGGTAACCATCTCCCAAATTTACAAAGTATATCCATTAAAGTATTAATTGTCTCATGTGATGTTTCTAACAGTACACACAATTGTTTAGATTAGTCTACAAAGTGAGACAATCACAATTTGAACTCAATTAAATACCAAGAAGCTAAGAGCCAAGAAAACCAGTTATCTCCACAAGTCAGAATTCTAATACTGTCATCATTTTTTGACAGCATGCTTCCAACTTGGTTAGACAAAATTTGAAATTTTTAACGCAGTATGACCTTCTGGTTCCTGTTGGCTCATTTTTTAAATAAAAATGAAAGAGTTTCCCAAAGTGCTACAACATCAACATTTGGACCAAAGACAGTCCACTTTAGAGAGATGAGCTGACCTAAAATGCCACCACCAGCATTTGCACTAGTTAGGCTTTCATTTCCACTCCCACTTCCCAGCTCACAAGGTAAATTAGCATCCCCATATGACATACCCCCCTCAATGCAGCTATTATTGAAGCATCCCATTCCACCTCTACCACCATGCCCACCACCACTGCCAATACCACTATCTGAAAATGTCCCTTGTCCCACACCTCCAATGCAACCTGAGGAACAAAAAACATCACTGGTAAGGCCCTGGAACAATAATAAACCACATGTATGCCAAATTCGCAAGGTTTTGAAAACAGATTCATTTTCATGCTAAATACAGATGACGAAGGGCCACGCCAATCACACTCAAATGTTAAATAATGCCCGCCTGATGGCAAGGTAGGAGATACACTTTGAATATGGTAATTAAAAAGGAACTCAGATGCAATTATACCCATCCCAGTTGTGCTTATTGTTCCAGAAGAAGGGACACTAATAGTTCTGGCTCTATGGAAATGAACAACAGATCCTATCACGAGGCCTTCAACAAGGATATCTTCAACTCGGCAAATCTGCAGAGACAAACCAACTTGAGACCTCACGGAAGTGAAAAAAACTATATCCCAATAGAATGCAGAACAAGAAAAACTCCACCTGAAGAGTGAAAGACAGTGAAGAGTTCACATTGCAATCTTCGGGTGGATGGAGGAGTTCAACTGGACAATCATTCTGATCACAATGCAACTTTGGTGTCCTATAAAAGAACAACACAAATATAGATTAAAATAGTTGCATATTTGAGATACTATGCAACAATTATTCAACTTACACAGCTTCAGTTGAGGCATTCTCTAAAGGACCACGTAAAACAGATCCAGGACCAACCTGTATCCAGAAACAGAAAAGTCAAAGGAGTCAACTGATATTGTATAAAGTATTTTGTACACACTTCTGGAAAAAACTACCATGCAACTTTAGAGTTAAGCACAGATATTAGCAGTATATAATAGTTTAACCAAAAAAAAGAGCAATGAATCCTTCAACTTACTTTGATTGTGCATAATTATGCAAGAGTAGAAACCTTTTTGTAGTCAAACACGTATTTGAGCGAGAGACATAGTCACATAGATAGATGTTTGCATGCATGTGTTTATACACAAACGCATGAGAGAGAGAGAGAGAGAAAACTAACAAAATAGCATACAATTCCAACTTTGACTAAACCAGGGAAAAGAGTAGAATAGCAACCTGAAAGGCTTAAAACCAAACAAATGAACCAAGCAGTATTTGGATCTAACCAAACATCTTGTTCTCACCAAAGGCACTACTTTTTTTTTAAATAACTTTACGTAAAACCATCCAACATATTCAATCTCATGGATGCTGAAGGTAATGAATGAATAGAAATATCATGCCACAAATTGCTTACATGTATACTATAAAACAACGACAAAACCAGGCGTTCTGCTTCAATGCAATCTCCTGGTCCAGACAAATTTAACAAACCTTGCCCGTGCACCCCTAGATTAGCATTGGAGTGAATAATAGATGACTCCTGTTATGGAAGCCAGGAAGAGGGAAATTAAGAAAAGGTCAAACAAGTCATGAGGATCCAAAGCAAGACGGCATACCAGTAAACTGAAGTAGAATAACTAGAGCACCTTAAGAACAATAAGATTACTAGCTTCAAGCATTGAGGTTTCAACATTTTCATCTCCTTCACCATCAATTAGCATTCTCGAATTCCACATCAGAAACATTTTAACAGACATACGGAGAGCCCCAAAAACCTGAAAGGCCGAAAAAAGGCGATCATACAAGGCTACCTACCAAATTAAATAAAAGTATTCTAGCGAGATCAAATTGCAAAAAGAATATGGTCATGTCAACCTACAAGAGGCCACATGCAAACAATGCATAAAAACTTCTGTATTCAAGAATAATGAAAAAAGCCAAATTGTTAAAACAAAAAACCCATGTTAAGAGCACATCTAGAATGAATTGTACTACTCCATCCACATTTATTTTGTCATGGTTATGATTTTTTTCTGTTGCATAGTCACTCTGTAATGATCTGAAACACAAGTAAATAACCATTTACCTGTATAGACTTCCTTCAAGATTTCTGCAGTGAAGATCATGAGAAATAAACAAACACAATACTTGAGGTTTAATTATGAAAAATCACTTTTCCAACTATTTTATCTTCATCAAACATAAATTTTCCTTACTCTGTACCCAATCATCACCGTGACCATAAAATGGGTCAGCCAGTGCTTCATCCATCCCAACTTGGATGTCTACTTAGAGTTTTAGGACTGTCCTTGACTTAGTTTGCACAACTAAAGATGGGGACTACCTAAAGCTTCCTCAAGAGGGCCTATATGAAATATCACAACTCCACATAGAACTGGTAGACTGCAGCATGTCCTGACAATAGAGCTTGAAAGGAAAAACATGGACAAGAATTCATGCTGCATTAAGTGCACAGAATTTTATAACTGCATGCACCCGCTAAGTCTACAAGAACTTTAAACCAGTAGAAACACAACCACACAGAGAGAAAAATGTGAATATATGTCTAAAAACAACAGATAAAGGGAGAAAAGTAGAGGAACATGCTTCCAAAAAATTAATTGCAGGAGAATCATTTAGAAACACACCATCTCATCATATCAGTATGATACAACAAAGAAAACATAAAATGTTGCCAGTATCCAATGAAAAAGAAAAAGGTTACCGCTACCTTAATAACAGAATCACTCATTAACAGTTCTTCGGCCAATATTTCAAATTCTGACATAGAATAATGTGCCAATCCAAAGCTCAGTTCTCCACCAGACAAGAGGCTAATTTGCCCTTGGACCTAAGACATAAGAATTACAGATACATCAAGTACTTGAATAATTCAATGGAAAAAAGCAGAATAATGTACTGAATATCCACTGACAGTCAATGCATTAGCTTCAATTCCAAAAGCTAATAATAACTGAAAATAATCATATCTGCAGATATAGTAAGGCACACATGGCCAAGGACACAAATAGCAGAACAACATACAAAATATCCAATGAGAGAACCAATACATTACATTAGTTCCAAAGTATATAATAGTTGAAAGTATTCAGATCTGCTAACACAGAAGGCACATCACAAACAGAACAAGGCACGCATAGGCATGGACATCGCTAGTGCTTGATTTGACTTTCCACTTTTATTTGATGTCAATTTGTCTCCTTATTATCCAAAAGAGTTTTAAGATAAATCTGAACAAATAAATAGGTTCTGACTATGTCACTAAGAAAGTAAGAAAGACTAAATTTATAGACCTGAACACGACTCCAAAGCAAGGGAACAGAGGCCTTGGCCTGATTTTGGATGTAGATATTTGTCAAAAATGGTTGAGGAAAGTCCAAAAGAAGTGTGTCTGTATCTGTAGATTTGTTGTAATTGTCAATAGTAAGACTGCGCGGAACAGCATCATAAATGCTCCCCGCTGCACCAGCGTTTTCTTGGCAGCCACGACTGCTTCCTCCTGTAAGAACAGAAATTAACTCAGCATGCACACTAAATCCACATTCCACATTTAAAGCTGGGTAAATTTAAGGCAATAACCAGCAAATTATTGTACTCATTTGATGTTTTAGATCAAAACAGGAACAAACTCTCATCCACTTGTTATCCTATTCAAGGCATAGCCCAGGCTGATGATGACATATCCAAGCAAGGCCAATTCTAAGAGACCAGAGAATGTACAGTAGGATTACAACCAGACCACGGAAGACCATTGCTTTGAAAAAAGCCCGAAATAAGCTACCAACAAACAGGTTAGTAGTATATGCAACAAAAATTATTCCCAAAAAAAGGACAGAGAGAGTCTATGATAATCCCTCAAGCTATGTTACTTGGACTCGGCTACTGACTCCTGCCGACATGGTTACTCTGGTGCAAAATGATGAGTCAGATAGGGGTACAGCAGGGAAAAGTGAAGAGTCTGAGTAACATAGCCCCCCAGCCTCGTTACCTCATCAATTTTATGACAAAACTTCCCAACAGATTAATTTGGCTATACAAAAGTTCCAATGAAATGAACCCCTTCTCTAATCTCTTTTCACCTCTCACAAATATAGACTTGTCATCTCTGGTAAACACTAGATGGCCATATGTGTAGAAACCTGTTGCTGTCAACAAATAGGATGAAGAAAAAGCCTCCCCAATTGCTCCCTTTTTAGGGTTTACCACAACGGATATAAGCAAAATATGGAGCTATAAACAAATATATCACAGGTTCAACCTTCAATAATGCCCTTCAAAGCATTCAATTTATCCTGAGCTTCAACTCTAAATTATGGTACAGAAAAAGCCAACAGGATCCAATTTAGATAATTAAGACAGAAATAAAAGCCCCACGTTTAAGAAAAAAGCAACTAAGGATAGAAAGATCTGCAACATTATTATTACAGAGGTGAGTAGCATAAAAAGGAGACTGATTATCTAGCAATCAAAAAAGTGGACATCAGAAGAAAAGTCAAATTGCAGATATAGTATTTTCCAGCACTGAAAGAACTAATGAAACTTCAAACAATTATGGATAAAGAGCAATATCATGTTTGGCTTACAGCTTGGAAAACTTTTACCACAAGAAAATCATATTATGAATCATACCATATGCAAAAATTTCCGGATCCTCATGGTGGCTAAAAACATCAACAGATACTCTTCCGCCACCTCCACCAGCAAAGCCATTACCTCCACATGCACTGATATAACCACTCCCAATCCTAAACTTGCAAAAATTGTCGTACTTTAGAATAAAACTACATTATCAATACTCATGAGTACTAAAGGTGCTAATAAATTGATTATAACTCACAAAGATAAGAATAATTTCAGAAACCAATAGCATATATGAGAAAGTAATTGCAAAAATTTTGGCTTGTGCCATGACAGCTAAGCCACAATCCTATTATTCCTATTCAATAAGTTGGAACCAAAAAAAAAAAAAAAAGCATCAGAGAACCAATAAAAGATTATTATTCAATAGAATGACATTCTCCAGCAAATAGACAAAAATTTTCGATAATTATATGCACAAAAGAACTTGTAAAATGGATAGATATGGACTTTGGCACAATTACATGACAGGAAACAGACCATGTACAATTCTAGATTATTAGTGAACTCATCCACTCTTTGAACAAGAAACATTGTGCTTGAAACACTGATCTAGATCATATTAGCATATCCCTAGAACCAAAAATCGTATGTCAGGAACCATGAAATATAATGGGTGTGCTTGGATTGCAAGACTTTCAAATAAAAATCTCAAATTTTGTTTTGCTTGCATCATACACACAATTTCCAACGACCTTTTTTATCTCACATACATCACATCACAAAAAATGCTACAGTAATTATTTCAAATAACCTCCTATCCAAACAAACCCAATTTATCACTACTGCAATGCAACTGTTTAGCAGCCTTATACAGTAACTATAACAAGTATTAGCATCAACAAAGTCGTTTGAAGATTAAGTTCTACTAGAATTAGTAAACACACAAATAAAATTGAAAAAAATAGAACTAAGATAATAGGTAAAACTCAAATTCTCATTCTGAATTACACTCTGTTCAAAAAGAGCAATGGGTTTAAAGAAAATTCTCATTTCTCCAGGACGGACTCCAAAAATACAAAGTATTGCAAAAGACTCCAAACCCACTTCATGACAGGCTGTCAGCTTGACTGGGGCATTAGCTTAGTGTAGCTTTTGAAGGGAAGTTCCCCTCCCACAAAGAAAATCCAGATGCCTCCCTCTCTCCCCCTCTCAAATAGTCTTCAGCATGCAATAGACCAAACCAATTGATACTAATGCACATAACAGGAGAGCTCCCATTGATATTTAGTAACATGCAGAAAACAAATTTCCAGTATAAAGAAAAAGGACAATATATAGCGAGAACTGAAATGGATTTGACAAGTGGCAATATAAGTTTTTGCAAGTGTTGTCCAGAAATCAACCAAGAAACACCAGTTTCATGGTTGAACGCTTATATCCAGCTATTTACCATGCACTCGCAAAGAACCTGCATTAGAAGAAATTACACTTTCCTGTGCATATTTCACAATGTTCTCAATATCTGTTTTCCACTTTTATATGCTAAAAGGTATTAAACCATAAGTAACTTCTTTTATTTTCTACCTTAGTATTGGGAATCTCTATCCCTGAAGTTCATCTACACGTGTATGATTTTTTCCACTTTTCCTTGCTCTTGTTCTTATTAATTTGGAGATAACATTTGTTATTCATTTTTGGGAGGGCAAAAAACCCATATGACCACTGCACCAATCCTATTCTAAGAAAAACCTTGTAAAACAATCTCTCTACCCATCAGCATTGCCCCAACCTAACAAAATTCCTCATTGTAAATTGTAAAAATCCAAATCCCAGTGAAATGCAGTAAAGGGGAACACCACAAAACTGGCCAAAAGCTTAAGCAGTTTAACAGCAGTTAGATGCTTTCACACCACCTCAAAAACAAGACCCTAAAGTATGTGTCAGGATCAGTAAAATTTCAAGGCTATTAATGTCAAGCTTAAGACCTAGCACTAATCACAATTGTCAATTAAAAAAGACGAGACATAGTTGACCATTGATACATCTTTTTAGGTTGATTACGACGCTACCAATTATGCGAACAACATAACTTCCAAATGGATCTTTTAGCTTGCAAAACAAAGGATATTTTATGCATGGGCTTATTGTTTACCTACATAATACCTGACCAGTTTATTAATGCGATTTGTTGTTAAGCAATGTTATGTATCCTAAATGACTCTAGAAGAATGAGGCTGTAAATGAAAATGCTTGGCATTAAAACTGTATCAGCTCCGGTCCAAGCTTGTAACTGAGTATTGGGTGCTTCTCAATGGCTTCTGATTTTCAGAAGCAAAATCAGAAGGCAAAAAAACCTGCTATGCTGCTTCCGATTTTTCAGATTTTTTGCCTCAAAAAAGGTGTGAACAGGTATTGGAAAGCAATTGAGAACTTTAAAATAACAGCTTTTCCAGAATCAAGAGCTAAAATCAGGTATTGAAAATCATTTTAGAACAAATCACTGTCCTTTAGACAAGTCCAATAATAAAACTCAAAACAACCTTCAAAAAAAAAAATTGATCTTAAAGTTGACCTCCAAAATGTTAACAATTATAAGCCCATAGCTTTAGAGAGTTTTATATTACAAAAAACCTTGCGTAGGTAATCTCTGCTTAACTCTGCCGGGTTTACACCTGTAAAGTGAAAAAACACAAAAGACGGAAACCTGACAATAATTCAAAGTCTTGCAAAGGAGGGAAAAGGAATAAGGAAAATGTACTGTCTGTCTGAAAACTGTATTTAAGTGCTGGAAGTGAATGAATCGCAAGTTTTTACATTCATCCTGAGCAATATGATACTTTTCCGATCAATTGATACATTAAGCACCAGTTCTTTTTTTCCCACAAACCAAAAAAAAAAAATCACTTAACTTTTTAAACAGATAAAGCCATGAATGAATTGTGAGTTTGTTATATTCATCCAGTTCAACATGATACTTTTCCAAACAAATAATACATAAAGAACCAGTTATTTTTTTATAGAAACAAAAGAGAATACCACTTAATTTGTTGAACTGTTTAACAGTCTAGCTTTTTGTCACTCGGTTATGTTTAAAAAATAACTCAGACACACACACAACCTCCTCTCATGCAGAATGCCAAAATATCCCTCTCATACTGCCCCCCAACACCCCCCCCCCAACCTTCTGTCTCTCAAATACATGAAAAATTGTTATTATGTTTCTGACAGTATATATGACTGTTCATCAGAACACCTTTGTTCTGAGGTCTAATTAAAATAAGTTCATCATATGCTACTTATTTACATTTATTAATCAAATAGCTTTCTCCTATAATATTTGATTACTCATATATTAATGGACCAACTATGGCATTCAAAAAGTAGAAGTCTATTGAAAAATAGAAAACTAAATTAAAAGAAGAAGAAGAAGCAGAAGAATAGCTAATCAAGAAGATAAAATAAACACTAACAATCTAAATGAAAAGTAACATTTAAAGAGAAGCTAACTGGACGTCTCAAAGAAAATTCACATACAGCAATCATTCTTAAGTTAAATTGAAGTATTTGCCACATTGATTTCTCAACTTAGGCTGCCATATTGGTTAACAGAAGGATATGGTTTCATTTTTATCAGCAACTTGAACTGCCAGCATTTAAAATAACTTCCAGATTCCAATGTTTCAGCTTTTAACTTTAGGCAAGAATATAAGCAAGTTCTCTTAGCAAACCTATCAACCACTGCCAACTTGTTGGATAGAGATCAGCATGCCAAGGTGTTTCCAAAAGAGAAATGCCCCCTAACCACTTAATGTTCTTCATTTTACTTAAAAAGCCAATAATCTAGTAGAGAAACCAAATAAGCCAGAAAACATTAATGATTACTACACAGTCAAGCTAAAATCAGAGTTTCAGGTAGCGAAAAAGTTGCTTTTGCAGGCAAATGGGATTTACATAGGTTGAAAAGAATTAAAATTATGATGACAACAGCAAATAATAATAATAAATGCTTGAGTTTCAAGAAACAACAGTCTTCTACATTCTCTCCAACCTATGAGCAAACAATACCATAATCCAAAGCTTATAAGACACTCCATGCTAAAACAAACTTAATCGGCCCCAAAGAACAGGATATTAGTTAACATGTAACACTTTGAAGTTTTCATTCTTTTAACAAACTCAAGGAAATTTGAACTTCCAACAATGATTTTACTCCGTCATTCTTTGCATGAACCACCTCCAAACAATCGTTTTAAATTCAAATTGAGTGAAATCCCAGTTTTCCTTTGATTCCTTGTGTTTCTAATCAACGTAAAGGATGACATTATTTGTATCATCTACAGAAAAGGCTCAAATGATAACAAAAGGAGTTCGGCTCACCAGTAAAATTTAAAAACAAAAGAAGCCAAAGGAGAAATATGTTCACCTAAATCACCCAGAAAACAATGATCCGAGGACAAAATCCCTAAATGAGGGTCAAGAAAAGTGCAATAAAACAAAATTATATACAATTTTCTGTCTTCAATTCTCATCAGATTCTAAGTCAAATTCAACAATTCCACTAAGTGCGGCAAGGAGAAACCACTTATATGGATTTCCAAGTGTAATCCAATATTAACAACATTCTGAATACAAAGTATGAATGTGGATGCAACTACCAATTGATATACATAATAAAACCATAAAACGTGGTAAATCTACTCACAGAGTCTACACATATTAAGAAAACGAAAACAAGTTTTTAAAGGCCAAACGCAAGTCTACATGCTAAGTATTCTCTGTCTTTTCAACTCTACAATCTAAAGTAGACGTTTCTACAAAATCCAATTAAAAAGGCAAAGAGGAGAATAGTTACATCTTAAAGGCCTTGATGTAGATGCTACCACCTGACCCGCCTCCTCCTTTGCTTCCTCCATCACCACCGTCAGCGAGCAAGCTCCCATTAACTTCCAAAAGCTTAAGCACTTTCATTTGAATTATCCCACCTCCACCCCCACCATAATCCACCTCCCTGTTTGTTGTCCCACCTTTACTCCCATAGCTACAAGGATCCTGCAAATATGACCACCCATATGCATCCCCACCCCATACATCATCTGGAAGCTTCTCCTGGTCCAACAAACAAGCCGCACCTCGTCCCCCATAACCCCCACCAGCACCATCCACCCCCTGGGGTGTCCCGCTCGTCTGGGGAGGAGGATCACCGGCTAAACCAGTAGTATTCACAACTGACCCATTCGAAAAAGTAGCATTATCTGCCGTCAAATCAAAAGTTCCAGCAAAAATAGTCGAATTCTGACCCAAAGTAAAGTTCCCAGAGACATTTATCACTAGCTCGCAACCCGGAAACATGCAATTAACCGTAATATTGGGAAGAATATTAAAATTCCCCTTCCCTTGTATATACACGTTATCACTGATATTCAAACTAGAAACTATATTGCAAGTAGTATCTAACGAACCAACTCCTCCGAGATCAGCTTCGCAAGTCACCGACGGCGGATGAGGAGGCGGTGGCGGTGGCGCCGGAGGTGAGTAATCCCGGTGAAACAAGAATGAATCGAAGTCGCCGGAGTCGTCATCTAAGTCAAAATCGGCGTCTCCGCCACCGTCCTGGACTAAAGTACCATAACCGCAGCTAGGAATCGGAAGCAAGCCTACTATTAGTGTCACCACTAAGAGTAAAGTGAAAGGAAGTACAGACATGTCAAAAGGTGAAGAAGACGCCATTGACTGATGAAAATGGGAATATTCATCAGAAATGATGGTTGGGAGAGGGAGAAATGGATTGCATCATCGGTGGAATTTTTTGCTCGAAAACAAAACCCACCAGAAAAGTTTGTTAGTTTTTCGTTCCAAATGCGGTTTAACTGTTTGATATATGCCGGTGCGGATGGAAAAAAGTGGCGCTTTGGGAACGGAGAATGCCCTAGAAAAAGGGGTTTCTGGTGAGGAGCCAAAGACAACTACTCCCTAGCGGATTCTGCAGAGCGAAGAAAAGAGGGAGGCAGTTTTTGGGGAAAATCGAATATGAGGAGAGCAAAAAGAGAGGGCAATAAAGGTAAAGGGTTAAGGGGGCGACTGATTACTGATTAGATAGGAGACTAGAGAAATTGGGGAGCTGAACATTGGGTTAGTGGTTTATTAATGAGAGGATGGTGAAGGGGTTAAAGATTAGACTGAGATTTTGAGGTAGAAAGCATGACTGATCAGAACAATCACATCCGTTAAAAACTTGGTGTTGAATTTTATAAATAAATAATAAATTGTGATGACGTTTTCTTTTTGGGATAATTTCAGAAACTTGCCCTGAAATTATTCATAGTAGTATCAGTCGGCCCCATTGAAGTTTTTAAAATCTCACGTACCTCCCTCAAAATATTTACATCTCGAAAAATTCACACATATAAGGAGATTATTTATTAAAATATATTTCCTAAAAAAAATTTCTTAACTCCCTCATAATTATCTCCAAGGGCTCCATCACTCACTATAATCCTTCTAAGTGGTTGATTTTGACTAAATTTAATTTACCACGTTCTTTGTCGTCCCACCATGACCTCGATATAGAGAAATATGGACCATTATTAGATATCAATTTATTTTTCTCTAATCCACATATTTTTGTTTAAAATTTTATTTTATTTTTTGGTTAAGCAATTATTAAGAGCTAGGGGTAATGTTGTCACTTTTTGACCTGTGATGGGAATATTTTAGTCTTATCAAACTGATACGCGAGGTAAGTGAAATTTTAAAAATTTGAATAGGAGAACTGAGTGATATTATTATGAAAAATCTCAGGACAATTTTTTGAAATTATGCCTTTCTTTTTTCATCTTTGTCTCTCTTTCCCTTTCCTATTTTTTCTTGGCTTTCTGTGATTCTTCCTCTTATTACATACATCTTATATCTTCTTCTTTATATCTTAATCAAGGAATAGAGAGATTCTTTTCTTTTCTTTTCTTTTGTCTAAAATAGGGCAGCGTGATAAGTGATAAGTTGTTTCCTTGCACAAATGTCTCATGTTTGTGATTGGGGGCTGATTCGTAGTTTAATGAGGAGGAAGATTAGATTGACTCATTGACACTAAGGTTGAGTGCATGGCTGATTGGGCCACTTTCAGTCAAAGTTTGCAATTGTACTAATTACAAATTGTGATGGCACCCTTGTTCTATACTTTTGTCTCTTTGTTTTGTCGGGGGAATTTAAATTATGATTTGACATTTTTTACAGAGAAAAAAAAAAAGAGGTAAAAAAAATATGAAGGAGTGACTGAGAATGAGAGGATTTTCAAGGGACATATGTATCCTTTTGTCTTTCTTTGTCTACAAAGTATGATAAAGATAAATTACTTCTTTATTTATTGATGGGGTGATTAATGAGATGTTTTAACTCTTTTTCTATTTTCTTGTTTTCTTTTCTTCTGATCATAAGAAAATTTCGGTATTTTGTTAGTTCTTAAGTTCCTAAAGTAAGGGAATGGTCAAAAATATAACGAACAAGGAACTCATTTAGAATTCTAATTTTATCTATTGGGTTTAGAATCTCTCCTTGCAAGAATGCTTAAGCTTCTTACATGTAAGCCTTTCTTATAATTATTAACTTAATTTTAAGTCACGATGTGGCCTTGTTTGGATTGCATTCTTCTGGATTTTTTGTAGAAAAATTACAGTAACGATTTGATATATGTGAGGTAAAAAGGTGATTGGAAAATATGTTTACGAAAAATATAGCAATTTCGCTGTCTACCGAGTTTATCTGCTACAAGTTTTTTAAAAACTTTAGCTACAGTAATCTCAAAAAACTTCTCAAAGTTTTTAAACTATACATTTCAAAATATTAAAAACAAAACATATTTCAAAATTTTTTAAAAAAAACTTCTACAGTAACCTACAGTAAAGTTTTAGACAAACACCCAAAAAACTCACTTGCCAAACGGGGTCAGGTTATCTAAAATATTAATTAACAACCATTTTTCAAAATTGAAATTCTATGTATAAATGCAGAATCCCTCAAGAGGAAAATGTTGAGAAAGTGAAATTATCAAAGGATATCACAAAATGATCTTGCTTGATCCTGTTAACAATGCCACCCACTATGTCAGATCGCGATATAAAGAAAATGATACGTCACACAGAGGCCTTCGCAAAAAGCGTTGATATGACTCAATTTACAGGTACTTACCTCGACATATACCATATGTAGTTAATTTTCTAATATCGTATATATCTATACTTACTATATATAAAGTGGGAAACTTGAGTTTTGATGTAAATGTTGTTTTGTCACTTTTTGAACTTTCATTTTTGGCTTTATACGACCTAAATTTTATCCTGATCATAACTTATTTTCATTATAACTACCAGAGCATATCTTTTCAAACAAAACTTATTTTCATTATAACTACTCATAAACACACAACATATAATTACACTCTTAAAAGAAAAAATCTTAAAAGAGCAAAATCATGTTCATTAATTAAAAAATATATATGTAAAATAAGTTCATACAAGAAATAATTTATTTCTAAATTGCACATACATTGGGTGTGTCCTGTACACTAGTGATTAAGATTGCAAATGAATCGAAACGAATCAAGTTTTGGTCTAATCGAGTTAAGTCTCGACTCAATTTTACCAAATTTGAGCTCATCGATCTCTCAATGTAAAACTCGAGTTCGAATTTGACCTTAAATTTGAGCCAAGCCAAGTTAGAACTCGAGCCCACTCAAGTTTTTAAAAAAATTATTATTATTATTTTATTTTATTTTTAAAATAATAAATAAAATAGTATTTTTTTTCTTAACAAATAATAAAACACTAGATATATATATGTAATTTTATTATTATTAAAATAAAAAAATATATATCTTAATATAATCGAGCGACTCGCGAACTAATGAACTAAGCCATGTTTGGATTGCTTGTTTCCGTCGGAAAATATTGTCGTTTTCCGTGATCACATTTCCCTATCACCTTTTTCCCTCACATATATCAAATCGCTACAGTAATTTTTCCATAAAAAATGACGGAAAATGCAATCCAAACACAAAAGTTTTTCTGTGCTCGAACTCGACTCCAGTTTGATGTTGACCAAACTCACTAACTCACAAGAGGCTCGCGAGTAATTTGACGCGTTTGCAATTCTACTAATTGCTATAATTGTTTTGAAAGGCTGTTGGAAGAAAATTGGGTTGAGTTGTAAGGTGGAAGGGAGTGTAAACGGAATATACTATATTCAAAACCACTCATTTAAAAAAAAAAAAAAGAAAAAAGTATCATACTATTAGTTGAATATAAACGGTCAAAAACATTAAACTAAGTGTAAAATTATGTGAAAGTGACTATACCTTAGTTTTGGACCGTCGAATTTCCTTAAAATATTTGTTACAGATAAGGCCCCGTTTATGTCTTAGAAATGAAGGATAAGAGTACATCAAGAAGTCCTAGTTTGTATGCTTGGCCCCTACAGTTGGTTTTGCGGGTTTAGTTTTCAAAAACATGTGTATTGACTAACCTAAATCACTTATTAGCATTGAATAGGAGTTCAAAAATTCAAAAGCAGAAATGAATAACAATGTAGACTAGTGCACCTAAAGCTTATTTGGTCCAAAACAAACTCTCTTTCATGTATGTCTGTGGTCCAAATTTGAAGAGCAAATCTCTTAGGCTTTTACACTAACACCAAATGGCATTTAGCTCTAACGAGTAAAATCCCTAATCTTCCAGCAAATAAAGTGCCTATATCCCATTGGCAACCATTGTTGACTTTGGCATCCTACATTTCATAGGGTAACAAAACGGACGAAAGGTATGTGACTTTGTACATAAAAATTTATTCCAGTGTAAGGTTGCCATCACTTTCAATTTTTTATCAAGCAACATTGAAACCTTCCAAAACAAAACCAGTGACTAGATAATGACTATTCGCCAAATGATTGGATCATGAACATTTCTTTCTACTTCGTGACTTGACAAAGTCCCAAAACCAATTGGTTATGAGTGAAGTGCCTCAACATCTTATATAATATATATGGTTAGAAATCCTTAGAATATCAATGTGGGATATACAATTAACACCCCATCGCAAATGTGACTTGACAAATAGGCTTAAGCCGATAAAGAAAGACCCAAGTCACGGGTGAAATAAATGGGTAACAAACAAACCCAAATCCCTGCTATGGTACCACGTTAAATAATTTGGACTTTCATCTCAAAATCAATTGGGTATGAATGGAGTGGTCCAACATCTTGGTTCATTTAAAATTTCGAACGAGTCTTTCACCAACACGAACGAGTCGAAATGAACCGAGCTACCGAACAGCTCGGTTCGTTTAACAGCCCTCGCAAATGTGACTTGACAAATAGGCTTAAGCCGATAAAGAAAGACCCAAGTCACGGGTGAAATAAATGGGTAACAAACAAACCCAAATCCCTGCTCTGGTACCACGTTAAATAATTTGGACTTTCATCTCAAAATCAATTGGGTATGAATGGAGTGGTCCAACATCTTGATTCATTTAAAATTTCGAACGAGTCTTTCACCAACACGAACGAGTCGAAATGAACCGAGCTACCGAACAGCTCGGTTCGTTTAACAGCCCTCGCAAATGTGACTTGACAAATAGGCTTAAGCCGATAAAGAAAGACCCAAGTCACGGGTGAAATAAATGGGTAACAAACAAACCCAAATCCCTGCTCTGGTACCACGTTAAATAATTTGGACTTTCATCTCAAAATCAATTGGGTATGAATGGAGTGGTCCAACATCTTTATATATATATATATATATATATATATATATAACTGGAAATTCTTGGAATATCAATGTGGGATATACAACTAACAAGGGTTATCTAAAGAAAAGAAAAGAAAAAGCAGAAAAAACATGGTTGATTATCTAAAGAGGATGGCCCGCATGAAACTTGTACAAATTGGACAAGGTAAAAGCTTACTTCAAAGATTTTGATGGCACCTGCAGATATATTATCCTAATGTATCTTTATTTTTCCCAAATCTTCTCCCTAAAATTCTATTTCTCTAAACGGAATGTAGTATTTTCTTCTTAGTTGGATCTACACCAAGTAATGC